ATTTCAATGTCTGCCAAAATCCTTAATCAAAAAGATTACTTGGTCATAAACAAATGGCTATTAGGATGGGACAGGATTAATGAAAGAGACAGGATCAATAAAAGAGAATCAAATCAAATAGTAGAATTTGAGAGCCAGAGAGCTCATGAATACCTTTCTGTCTATACCAGTGAAGATGAAGAGAGAGAGAGAGAGAGAGAGAGAGAGAGAGAGAGAGAGAGAGAGAGAGAGAGAGATTTTGAGGAACTGGCTCACATGAATGTAAGACTAGAAACTTAGGCAGAATTTCTATATTACAACTGTTGAGGCAGGATTCCTTCTCCAAGAAACCTCAGGTTTTCGCTCTTAAGGCTACCATCAACTGAATGGACAAGGCCCACCCACACTACTGAGGGTAATCAATAAGGCAAATCCTATTGTATTCCAAATAACTGGGTGAAGCTGTGGGAGTCCTGTGAAGACACATCACAGGGCCGGAACATTACCTAGTTAAATTTCAGGGCAGAAGTTTGGCAAAGCCCTTCGTAAGGAGGCATTAAAGTAAAGGCAACTCCAAAGCTTAGGGGAGTTTCTTTCATGTGAATGAGCTGAATTGAACAATAAAGGGCTCCTAATGATGCTGCCTACTTCCAACTCCTATCTAAGATGCATTTTTGTTTGGGATGATACTCAGAGTATTTCTCAATCAATACACCACCAGCCAATCAAATTGAACAAGTCCCGGTTAGGCAGGTGTTAAACTTCCAGAAGGTCCTGGCTGGGCCCACAAGCCATGCATGAAGCACAGGAAAAGCCCAATGCCTAGGGCCCACATTACTTTTGGAGTCTGACAATACTAGTAATGTTTTCATTTCTTTTAGAATTTTTAAAAATAAATATAACATCAATGTAACTATGGTTATACCACTAAATTGTACACTGAAAAAGGGTTAAAATAGTACATTTTATATTATGTGTATTTTACCACACTGAAAAAGTGCAGAAAAGTGCTTTTGAAAAGCTAACTATATTAAATGATGGAAACTCCTAGCTAACCAGGAAACGATGGTGATAATATAACATCCAAAAAACATCTCGAGGCAGAAACCTTTGGTACCTAATAAGCAGAAAATTTTGCTTAAAATAGAGTATAGAGGACAAAAAGTACTTCCCAGGAAAAAAATGAGTATAATATGCTTTAGTTTTGTGTAATAACACTTATTCATTTATTGGCAATAATTTCAAAAATATTAACAATAACAGGGTTGGCTAACTTCTAAATATGGGTGCTGGAAATCAAACTACCAGACAGCAGGAAGGAAGGGTGGGGCCAAAGACTTGTCCCCTGTCCTAAAGGCTCACGTAACCTACAACACAGCCAGCCATGGACCAGTCCTCCAACCTACCTTCTCTGAATCTTTTCCTCTCTTGATTCTTTGGGAAAAGGAAGGGGAAGCTTTTAAAAGACAGTATCTTTCACTGAAATTGGGTGAGCCATAAAAAGTACCCAGTGCAAGAAGTAGAGTTCTGAAGGTGTAGCTTGCAATTCTTATTCATTTCTCTCCTTGGAAATAATTCCTTAACTTTCACATATTCTGTATTTCCTTACTTATGTCTAGAGTTCTGGTATGATAAGTTGCATTTTCTTTAAGTTTCCCACAATGCTGTCCCACTTTATGAAAATACGCATTTAAGCAAATGTAAGAGCCCATCATATAAAAATTGATACAAGTTTCAATTCATGCACAAAATTTGAAGTAGTATGAATCCAGATATTTTATGATTCTATAATTGCAAAAGTGGTAGCCTGAGTGAATGGTGAACTATTTATGCTAAGGCCATATGGTAAAATGCCTAGCATGAAAAAAAAATTAGTATTTTATGAAGTGTACTAGAGGCTCGGTGCACGGATTCATGCACTGGTGGGGTCCCTCGGCTTGGCCTGCACCCTCTCACAATCCGGGACTCCTCAGAGGATGTTGGAGAGGCCAGGTCGAGGGACCCCACAGGTGCATGAATCCATGCACTGGGCCTCTAGTATGCATGTAAGATCTTTGATTAATCTCTTCCCACCCTCCCCCTCCCCTCTTCCCTCTGAGATTCATCAGTCTGTACCATGTTTCCATGCCTGTGGTTTCCACTCCTGTGTTAAGCATCTGACTCCTGGTGGTCAGTGCATGTCATACCTACCGGCCGGTCGGTAGGCCAGTCACTTAGGCTTTTATATATATAGATACTTGTTTATATGCAAGATAACCTCAGTTACTATTCTGCTGTTATTTATCCACCCACTTATAATTTAAAATATTTTTATATTCTATAAGAATGTAATGCAACCATTCATTAAATAGGGGTGCTAAAAAGCAGTGCTAAAAACATGTCTCAAAATCAATTACTTTGGCTTGGAAGTGAATGAACAAAACTCTAACTAAAGCCAAACAACTGCCATGGCATGTTGTGCTATTAATGTGGAAATAAGCAATGGAGAAATATTAGAAATAATGCTGAAAAAATTAAAACCATAAGTATGTAACACAATGGCTAAAGACTTATGCACTCAGAGAATAAATACACCCTTAAATTTCTGCCTATAGAAAATTCGTCCTTGAGGCTTTGTGAGTTTGTAATTATGTCTTCAACTTCATTTTGTTTAGAGATGGAACCAAATTCCATGTATATAAGGAAACAGGCCTGAATTGCATTTTTAAGTAACGTATTTGTTTCCTTGTGTGTTTTCTGATTATAAAAATCAGGATAAAAAGTGTAGAGATGAAGAAAATGACCAACTTTAGTAGCATTTTGACAGTTTTTTCATTTTTTTCTTCTATGTTTTATGTAGTTTAGATAAAATATATGTTCAATTTTGCATACTAATGTTTTTCTTAACCTTAAATCAGTGGTTCTCAACCTGTGGGTCGCGACCCCTTTGGGGGTCGAACGAGCCTTTCACAGGGGTCGCCTAAGACCATCGGAAAACACATATATAATTACATATTGTTTTTGTGATTAATCACTATGCTTTAATTATGTTCTATTTGTAACAATGAAAATACATCCTGCATATCAGATATTTACATTACGATTCATAACAGTAGCAAAATTACAGTTATGAAGTAGCAACGAAAATAATTTTATGGTTGGGGGTCACCACAAAATGAGGAACTGTATTAAAGGGTCACGGCATTAGGAAGGTTGAGAACCACTGCCTTAAATGAAGATTTATCAAGACACTAAGAGCTATCTTTCATGTTATAAAGGATACAACAACCTCATCATATGATTATAGCATATTCAATTAGTACTATTTCTAATACTAAAACATAAAGCATTTTCCAAGTTTAGCCATTATAAATAATCCAGTGACTAGTATCTCTGCATTTTAAATTATTTTCCTTTGGGGAAATTTCTTAGAAGGAAAATTATTAGATCAAATAGTATCTTGATACATACTGCCAAATTCCTTTCCAGAAAGATTAAAATAATTTACAATTTGCCTGGCAACAGATAAAATAACCCATCTGGTCCTGGCAGGGTGGCTCAGTTGGTCAGAGTATCATTCCATATACCAAAAAGGTAGTGGGTTTGATTCCCAGTCAGGGCATATATCTAGGTTGTGAGTCTGATCCCTGGTTGGGGTGCATACTCGAGGCAGTTGATCAGTTCCTCCTCCTCCCTCTCTCTCTAAAATACATTTAAAAATATACCCTCAGGTGAGGATTTAAAAAAAAATCTCACCCCATCTTCACCCAGCTGCGTATTAAATGTATAAATTTAATTTTTAATTAATTTAGTTTTCCAGTCCTCTAAAATGGTAGTTATTCCCTTTTATTTGAGAGCTCTATTTACCTCTGAGTGAATATTTTTAAAAATTAATGGCTGGAATCTTTCATGGGTTGCAGTCGGATGGCAGCTGGAGTGGGAGTCCAGGCTCAGGTCGGCTGAATGTCCGAGATGGCTTCTTCATTCCTCAGCCAAGTTCAATAGTGTTTCTGCTCATGGCCTCTCCCTCTAGCCCAGGAGCCTGGATTTCTCTTGAGGTAGCTCAGGGCTCCAAGAGATTTGAAAGCAGTCTTTTTATAAGCTAGGCCTACATCTGGCACAGGGTTACTTTTGCCATGTTCTATTGATCAAATCAAAAGCCCGACAGTCCAGATTCAAAAGGCAAAGAGACATTCACATCTTGCTGGGAAAGTGGCCAGCACCAACAGAAGGCCAGCCATCTTAGAGACAATCTACCACATCCTTATTGATCTTTACTCATCTAAGCTTTTCCTGATGAAAGTATTTTAAATTTGTGTTGCTATAGTAATTTGTATGCTTTTTCTTTAATAGTTTACTAACCAGTTAGTGCTGATGTGAAGGAAAGATACTGTTTTTCATATGCTAATTTGTATTTACTCACTTACTAAATGGTCTTATTTAATTCTCAGTTTAATATCTTGGTTTTCCTAAGAAGGTAATCATACTATCTTAAAATAAAGATAAAAATTTTCTTCTCTTTTTCAATAATCAAATACCTTATCTATTACACTGGTTAATAGACAAGCCTAATAAGATGCAGCCTTGTTCTGTTTCTGTTGTATAATTTTTTAAGTACAAATATATTAAAGTAATAAACTGGACATATATTATCAACATACACATTTCCCAGAGCTAAATTAAGCCACTTACTTTTATGTGTCAATGCAATACAAATGAATAGAAAGGCAGGTTCTTATTCCAGATAAATTAAATTCCGGGACAGAGATAATAAAACAAGATGAAGAAGAAAGTAACTAATATGTTTTGGACACTACAATATTTTCTCCCTGAAATCTATAAACATCTAAAAATAAATCATAACAATAAAACATTCTATTGACTCCCTCAAATAGAAAATATCTCTAAATAAATATAAAACATCATAAATCTCAGCAATTGTCCTCTCTTCCCAAGCTTGACTATTTACACTAGATGTGCAGAACCATTTTATGTACATAAACAAGTATTAGAATGTGGCTTCACAGCCCTCTTATACTCACAAGTAGCTGATAATTATATGGTGGAGTGTAGTTTTCAGCATATGTCGTCAATGCACACCTAAGAGGGAAAGTCAGTATCTGAGAAAAGAATGACTTAAAAAACAAACATATTTAAATGTTTTAGTGGTGTATACATCACATAAAATAAAACCATTTCAAGAAGAATTGGCCCCCATAAAAATTTTAAAACCCACACTGTCTCAGCCTTGTTTTCAGTGTTACCTATCACCAGCAGGAGGCCCTTCCTCCATTACTTCCTACTCAGCACCACCCACTACTCTCCTGTGCTAATGATACGCTACCAATCCCAAGGATTTTAAATTATTACCTGAGCTTGGGTGCATTCTGGACTTTTGGGACTCACTTTACCACCCATTTTCTGCCCCTCAACTCTTTTTGATCCTATGCCCTATGTTCTCTGCTGGATGACAACTGAAAAGATAATAGCAGACAACCACGAGGACGGAGATAACATAGCTTCTCCAACCTCCTCCCATTAAACACACAGAAATGCAGATGAAATACACCCTCCCTCCCCAAAGTGTAGAAGCACAGCCAGGCTCAAAAGGGAAAACTTGAAATGTTGGAAATGAAGAACACACTCATTAGAATGGGAAGCCATATGTCCCAAGGACAGGACTGCAGTTTGAGCTGCAGGTCAAAGAGCAGAAGACATGGTCTTGGGGATTCCACAGAAGGCAAATTGCTAAACTCTTACAGCCAGGAGTCTCCATATAATAGAGACCAAAAAACTACAGTAACCAGTCCAGGGAAACTTGCCAGAAAGTTTCTTTCTGTTTGAAACTGAGGGTGGGGTTTGGGAGGAAATTATTTTCCAATGAGAAATTAAAGTCCTAATTCTCTGTTCTGAGAATATTATGAAATGAGATGGTCAAAGAAACTCCGCTGGTAATTGCACATCTAAAAATATTGGGTACAGGGAAACTGAAACATTTCAATGCATGGCCGAGCTGGTGGGAAAGTAACATAATCCAACAAATAAAGAATTCCATCCCTAGCCGGGTTGGCTCAGTGGATAGAGCATCAGCCCGCAAACTGAAGTGTCCCAGGTTCTACCTGGTGATAATCACCAATTCCTGACAAGAAGTGGTTTCCAGAGTAGTAGCTTGTTAAAGAAATGCGAATACTGTCATGTGCCGCGTAATGGTGTTTCAGTCAACGATGGACCAAATATACGACAGGGGTTTCATAAGATTAAAATGGAGCTAAAAAACTCCTATTGCCTTGTGGTGGTGTAGTCATCATAACATTGTAGTGCAACACCTTACTCACGTGCGTGTGGTGATGCTGGTGTGAACAAACCTACGGAACTGCTGGTGTATAGGAGTACAGCACATACAATTATGTAGAGCACATAATATTTGAGAATGATAATAAATGACCACGTTACTGGTTTGTGTATTTATATGCTATACTTTTTATTGCTACTTTAAAGTATATTCTTTCTGCTAGAATAAAAAGTTTTCTGTAAAGCAATATGCCGTGTTAAGTCGGTCAGCAGACTCATACACCTCATGACTGCATCATTTTCTTTTGTGCTTGATTTAACCTCATGTTATTTTGCACAGGAACAGGCCTGCATTCTATGTTTGTAGCTTAGGAGCAATAGGCTATATCGTACAGCCTCGGTGTGCAGTGGGCTACACCATCCAGGTTTAAGTAAATACACTCCACCATCTTTGCACAACAATGAAATCGCCTAATGATGCACTTCTCAGAGTGTGTCCTTGTTGTTAAGCAGTGTGTGACTACTTCAGTCCAACTCGAGATCTACGGAATCAGAAATTCTGAGGGTGGGCCCAGCAATCTGTGTTTTCACAACCCTCTAGGTGATTCTGATGCACACTAAAGTTTGGGTACTGGAAACTAAAAGAACAAAAATTAGAAGTGTAACTTTCAAACCAGCAAATAGGACTTTTTTTTCCCCCAAAAGAGGCCAATCTAATACAAAGCAGGAACTGTGAATACCAGAAAGGAAAAATCAATTTCTGCTTGCCAGACAAATTAAAATCATAAAATTAAATGTCTTTGCAATCACAATGAAAGTAAAGGGGTAAAGCCCATCAGGGAAAGTATTTTCTCAGACTTAAATTGAACTACAAATTGTGTTATGCAGTCTGATTCTATGCTTTTATAACTAGAATTATTTTCAAGTAAAGTTTGAAAGCAAAAAGAATATAAAAGATATATCATACAAATATTAACCAAAAACTATTAATTATAAAGATTTGCTAATCATTACCTACTGATTAAAGGAATAAGTCACCAAGAATATATGACATACTCAACAACATATAAAATATGTAAAGCAAAAAATGACAGAATCACAAAGATAAAATGATAATTCCACAGGCATAGAGGAGGACTGTAAAACATTTCTAGATCCTTCAGTTCCTTAAATCCAAATTTCTACATACATCCTCCAAAACTATACATATCAACAGCAACACAAATAAAATCACACAATTTTCCATGCATGCAGCATAACCGAGGCCAGAAAAGTCTACAAACTTCAGTTTAATGTAGTGAGGAGAACAATCCAGAATTGGTAGAGTTAGATCTGAGCCCAAGCTGGAGCAAAATCGGGCAGAGATTACATGGAAGAGAGGAAAGAGTGGCAACTCCCCAGTGGGGATGGAACACAGAGAACATGGACCCAGAAATAGAGCATCCCTCTCTGATGGAAAAAAACTGAGACCAAGTCTGAGACTAGAGGATTTGAACATTGGCTTTTAAGAAAGAGGCTTGGAAAGTATGCAAGCCCACAATGGCAGCCTTGGTGTGCAATGATTCCAAGGAAGCGGGGGTGGGGACAGCTGGCAAAATAAAGAAAAATAAGAAATCAAGCCCAGAAATTAAGGGTCCTAAAACCACCGCTCCTCCAAAAAAAAGAATAATAATAATAATAAAAGTCATTAATGAAATAAAGTTCACTTCACTGTTCTAACAGAAGAGGGCACTCTTGAACTAAAATATTGAGGAAATGGTCCAAACTTCTTATTCCCTCTGCCCCCGCCCCCCCCCCCCCCCCAAATTTACCTGATTGTTGCTAGGCCAGGAAAATTAAACATACTTAAAATGTAAAAAAAAAAAAAAAAAGAAAAGAAAAAAAGAAAAAAAAAAAAGGCAACATTACTATGAGAAGAAAACAGTAAATAAGAATAAAAACTAAGCTGATGAAACTCCTCCCCAGAAACATTCCTGGTCAGAGAAGTCCTCTATCAGCTTTTCTATTCAGCAATGCACTAGACATTCTAGCAAAGGTAGTAAAACAAGAAAAAGAATCATTAGTATAATAATTGGAATGGAAGAAACAAAATTTTCGTTGTCCACAGATAATAAAACTGTCTACATCTAAAAATCTAAGAGAATCTTTGAATCATAACATCAGGCAAGTTTCAGGACGATTGTTTGATATAAGATCAATACACAAAAATAGTATACTCATGTATCAGCAATAAGAAATTAGAAAGCATGAATGACTAAGTGGAAAAATCCCATTTATAATTGCAATAAAATTTCTAAAATTCTTATAGCAATATATGTAACAAGATTTATAAGATATTTACGAAAAGATACAAAATTTATTGAAGGACATAAAATAACTCCCTTGTTTATGACTCAATCAATATCTATACTAATAAAAGGGTAATATGCTAATTAGTCCAGACATCCTTCCAAAGCCATGGTGGCGGGGGCCAAGGCAGAGGTGGTTAGGGGCAACCAGGACGGCAGGGAAGCAGTTAGGGGGTGATCAGGCCGGCAGGCAGAGGCAGTTAGGGGTGACCAGACTGGCAGTGGGGGGGGGACAGTTAGGGGGCAACCAGGCTGGCAGGGAAGCAGCTAGGGGGTGATCAGGCCGGCAGGCAGAGGTGGTTAGGGGCAATCAGGCAGGCAGGCAGGAGAGTAGTTAAGAGTCAGCCGTCCCGGACTGCAGTCGGACATCTCCTGAGGGGTCCCAGATTAGAGACGGTGCAGGCCGGGCTGAGGGACGCCCCCCCCCACCCCCATGCACGAATTTCATGCACTGGGCCTCTAGTATGTTACATATGTGTTTATATATGTATATATACACATATATGTAATTTCTAAAATGTTTACAGTCTGACATTATATATGTTTTGATTAAACTATAATTTAAAACTTCTATTGATCAAAAGACAGCTTGAACAGTTAGAAGAGAAGCCATAGAGTAGAAAAATCATAAAATTAATCAAAACAAGATTAATACCCAGAACAAACATTATTAATGAAATCATGAAAGACAAAATCCCATAGAAAAATGGACAAAGCCTATAAACAGTCAATTCACAGTAAAAGAAACCAGAAGGCTAGTAAATATTTTAAGAGAAATTCAGTGATTAGTGAAATGCAAAGTAAAACAACAATGAGGTACCATTTCATACCCATAAGATTGGTAAAAAGTAAGGATATTTTTAAGGATATGAAATAATGTGTATATTTATACACTACTGGTGGCAGTGCCTTGCTAAATTGAAGGTGCATATATCTTAATACCCAGAAATTCTGTTTCTGAGTATAGAGAAATCCTTGCATATATACTCGAGGAGACATGTATAAGGAGAGTCAATGCAACCTCATGTGTAATGGTGAAAATCTGGAAGGTAATGTCCAACAATACAATGAATATATTGATGGCTATGTAAGTTATTATAAATTTTTCTCTAAAAAATATAAAGCAAATTTTGTAAAGATGTTAACATATTTATAATCAGGTAATGAGTAGATAAATGGGAGTTTGAATAGTATTTATATATAAATATTTAATAATCTTAACATGGAAATATAAAGAAAATATTCCATAATCTTAAGATGTTTAAGTATTAATAGATGACAATGGACTTATCTGCCTATCTTTTCTTTTCCAAAGTTATGACTCCAATGATATGATTATCAGTCAAATATCACAGTTTGCTTTGGGCAGGCCAACTTGCAAGGCAGCATTGGGCATCTCTCTACTCACTTAAAGTAGGCAGAAACCCATTCCATCCATGCTCAGGCCCTTCTCCCTATCTT